GAAATGGTATAGAATTCTTGAAACTCAATATTTTTCGATCAAAAAAACCCTTCAGTAGCTCGTTTCTGTAACAATTCTCTACCAACGGAGATATGAATTCGCTGCCCTGTTCTCTACTGCTAATGAGTAGTAGAGAATGACGTATATTCTCTACCAGTAGAGAAGTAATAGGTAGAGAAGAGTTACAGTAACGAGCTACAGGAGACTTCCAATAACAATACTGAATTGTTTATTTCATTTTTTTTTAATACTAAAGATTTTTTATGTATCCCCCATTGCATATTCTGGCATTTACTGGGCGTTTTGGCGGACCTATAAAATATAGGTTACTAAATAAATAGTTAACATGGGCGTAGCCAGGTAGGGGCAGGGGGGTGCTCGAGCCGCCCCCCCTATCTTTCAAATTTTCCTTATATATATATAAAATAGTACCCTGAAGTGCCAGCTTAATACGCTTTTGCGCATCCCGATTATAAAACTAAAATAAATTTACAAAGGCTTAATTAAAAAATTTAAAATGAATAACATTTTTTTTACTTCCATATTATTTGGTTAGTACGACTGTCAATAATAAATGACAAAACCCATACCGAATTTTCAGTTCAATGAAAATTTGATAATTTGACCACATCCTCAACTTCAATAGAATATCGGAAGCCGAGAGGCGCCTCGTCTGAAAAGCTTTTGCCTTTTCTTTAAGAGTTATAAAGAGTCCAATAGTGGTCAAACACATCGAATTCGTTCTCTTACTTATTTAATTCTCTTTACAGGAGAAATGTTTCAGTATGTAAAGCGCTGCTTGAATTGCACACATGAAAGAGATACTTTCTTTACAGCCTTGAACTTTAACTGGGTAGGAGAGGGTCATGAGTCATTATACTACATTGATAAGTTCTTGAGGACACATGGTGTATCATATAAAATAGCGCATTTATACGTGTATACACATTTCCATATACATACTATGCATTTACATACTTATCTACTACATGGATTTATGTAAATATGTTTGTACATGTACATTTGTTCATGCTACATACATAAATATATACATATTTGCATATATTTGGAGGAAAAACTTATAGTGCGCAGAATTAAGTCAGTTCATTACGGAAAAAGTGAGTAAAGTCCGTATTTTTTCATGAACCTTCCTTTCTGGTTTTAAACAATCTATTAAAAGTCCCCACTTATCAATATACCGCTTGAAATGTTTTGCAGGGCCAGAATAAATGGAATCTTGTTAACGGTCAAAATAATGGTGATCATCAAGCGTTTTAGCTTAGAAATTCTGCAATCAAATACATTCAGTACATTAGGTTAGTTCATTTAAAAATTATCCAGTAATTTGCCAGCAGCTGTCCAGCAACTTAATTTCTGATAGTCTAGTTAGTCTAGACTTAACTTATCTTACGTAAGAAATCGTCAATGATTACTCAACACGTCAACTTAGCAAGAAGCGAAAATATTTTGTTTTTGTATTTTCCTTTTCAGCTGATGGTCACTTTGCCGCCTATAAGCCAGACCGAAAAATTCCTGAACAAAATTTATATTGTGTTGGCTCTCATAGAGAAAAATATGTATTTAAAAAAGTACGTGAACCAAGACCAGTAACAATTTGCAAGTCTCACGAACAGCTGATAAATTTGTTCTAAGCAATTTCCTAATAAAACGGCCCCAACAGCAAAATAACCTGAAACGTATCCGAAAATGGAAACGATTTCGTATTAAAACCTGATGTTTTGTCCATTTTCCGATTCTGTTTTCGGTCGTTTTTCAGATCCATTCTCCTCCTAAAGTGTTCATCCGAAGCGTATGTACAGAAAACTATCGAAAATGGGTATGAAATGGATGCGTTTTCGGCTGTTTTCCTGAAATTTGTCTTATTAAATTTTTCGTTGAAAACCATATCGTTATGAACTTCACAGAAACTTTTTCATAGTTACAGGAAACCAAACATAAAGCAATTTTAATATTCAGCAATTATTTAAATTTTAATAAATACTTTTAATGTGTTACTTCTGACGGCATTCGAACCTGGGACCTCCTGAAAGCTATCAAATAGTTGCACGCTCCTCTGCACACACAACTACTGGCGAATACGTATACATATTTTCAATTACCCAGTTTGAACAAATATCTTAAAATTAGCATTTTCAAATAACATGATGACATTTTTCGGATAGGAAAAAGAGCAAAAATGGAAATCGTTCCGTCATTTCAGGCACAGGAACTTCCCAGGGCATGGGAACATTACCTGGGTATAAACGCATGCGCTTAAAAATATTTGCCGGCAATGGGCCAGTAATAAAATCATTCGCTTTAAAATGATTTTCACTGACATGGGAAGAATCTTCCAATTGAACACCGCAGCTGTTCTCCCAACGAAGACTTCTAACTTCGCAACTAGGCGCCTTAAAGTATCGCACCA